ATTCAATCGTAATGGGGAGTTCTATTGTACACCGTATTTCATTTGTAAAATTTCACTATATAGATACATACTTATTTCCAGTTCTTTCCGAATTATTTTAGAGTAGATGTTATATGGGTATAAATTTTCTCTACGTAAAAGCAATCAAATTCGTTGATCTATTGTTTGATGAGAGAGCAAACAAATGAATAAGCTTCCGCATTTAACCGCTGAAGGTGTAACATTAAACAGAAAGACAGATGTACATAAAATATGTATATAAATTATAGTCTATGTATTATTCTGATAATAAGCTATATTATTGTAGTTTCATTAAAATCCATTCAGTAGTATTTGCGTGAAAGAGTAATAAACATCCATCCATATATACAAACTTTCGCCATTATAATATTAGTAAGGATTACGATCTATAAGAAATTTAAGTCGGGGTTCTTTATCTAAACATAATCCAACGAAAAATATGACTGATTCGATCCTCAAACAACTCAATGAGACTGCAACACATTGATAGTTGCGGAAAAATATTGCAATATCGATGAATGGTGCATCCCTACGCCTTCCAATGAGAGGATGGGCGGTAATGCACTGTTTAGAGCTCTACAGCGCATCGACAATCGGTAATTGCAGACTCATCGTGACGCCCGCCTTTTAGAGGAAATGAAAGCATTTAAATAAACGCCTTCACGGAACGCCGTTTAATTACGGCCAATTGATGTACTGACGGCTCCTTAGCGGAGCACTCTATCGATTCCGGATTGCAGCTTCGGCGATTTCCCGACGAGGAAGCCGCCACAATCAACAAATCGAAAGCTTTGTACTTAGCGGCTTTGTGCCGAGCGGAGACCGTTTTCAGTGCAGATATTTTCATTATTATGCCGCTGTTCTTGTTTGCTGTAATGTAATGTGCGTTAAATTTCTTTGTTTCTTTCAAAAAGGTATTTGATGGTTGTTTCCTAATTAATGATTTCATAATTACTGATCAATGAAAAATGACTAAAACGTAACCAGAACGAACTAAAATATAAATTTGTTGCTATTTTCTGTATAACAACTCTTGGCTTCAAGGGGTTAATACATTAATATATTATTCTTCGCTGTTGTCATTTTAAAATGCTTCCACTTTCTGTCTTCAATACTATAAAGGTTTTGAAAGACATAGAGTCAGCAGAAGGTTAGAGTTTCCCCGAGTTTTTGTAAATTTTATTGTCAAAATTGTACTGTTGTTATTACAATATTATTTTAACACGAGTTTAGTTTGAAATAAATAAGCCCAGTCATTTTTGCGTCATTCGTAAAGAAAATTCAAAGGGACACAAGACTTTTATACTCTTACCATACCAAACTTCTACCAACTTATATAGTATCAGCCTATACATGTCCCACTGCTGGGCAAAGGCCTCCTCTGTACAGAGGGTATCAGGGCATAGTCGTAGATTGGCATACTTCACATATAGTCGAAATATTATTATTATTATTATTACGAAAATATGCAGGTTTCCTCACGATGTGTTCCCTCACCACTGAGCACGTGATAATTCAGCACTTGAAATTAACAATTTCCTAGGTGCCGGCACCGAGGATCGAACTCTGGTTACTCGAGTATATTGAATTAAAGGCAAGCGCCCGGACACTGAGCTATCACGGTTCCCAAATGATATGCCTGCTATCTTTTAAGCTTGGCAGCTAAAAGGATGGCAGCATTATTGCCCAAAAATTGGCCAACGCTCGACCGAAGAAGTACCAGACTCGGAGAAGATAAGGGTATTGATATTGATACTTTAGCGTTTCGCCAGGTGAGTTAAGTAATCGCGAATTTGACCTCAAACATACGCTATGTTATCATTTACCATTAATGTTAGCTTATAATTCGCTATCCCTATAAAATACACAGCTTTTACAAACGCGTTTAGTTCCAAGTAAATGAGCTAAGTTTCACGTAGTTCATAAAGAAAAGTCAAAGGTAAGCATAAGACTTTAATATAACGCACTTTAATATAAGCACCAAACGTGTAATACTTTCACTTCACGCTGATATTCTGTAATGTGGTACTTCCTCGGATGAGCTGCATGTCCGACAAAAGCTACTTCGCGCTCCTACCACAGTCTCTATCTATCCCAATATTATAAGTCTAACCATATTGCCTCTGCGCGTATAAGTGTGAATACATTTATTTTATCGTGTATACGGTAAAAATCACATTTCGGAAAGTAAATGGCAGGATATTCGTTGAAGCGTAAACCAGAAAGCGGATTAAGAGGAAACATAAAAACATGTTTAAATCAAGATTTATCGATGGCCGACTCGTATGAACCCGATTTATTGCTACGTGATTCAATGTTTACAACTGCTGATAACAATATACGTATATTTTAGACAGTTAATCGTAATAGTGAACATCTACATAGTACAAGTTAATTCTATTGATATACAGGTTACGTCGCTATTAGATTTAATAATATTGTAACAACAACCGGTCATTACCAATGTTATTGGGAGGGTTATATATATATATATATATATATATATATACTAGCTGACTCGGCAAACCTTGTTTTGCCATATAAATTATTTTTAGGGAATTTGTGAATCTGAACACATAGAAAAAAAATTTCGGAACGCACCCATAAAATGTTTGACAGGTAGGAACAGTTTGTATGGGAAAATAAAATCGTTGCTATTTCAATTTTCCATGCAATTTTTCCATAATTTCTCATTGTTTAAAACTTCCCTGGACTGCCACAAATATTTCAAAACCAAAATTAGCCAAATCGGTCCAGGCGTTCTCGAGTTTTAGCGAGACTAACGAACAGCAATCCATTTTTATATATAAGAAGATATAAAAAAAGGCTTTTCGTCTCGCCAGTAAATTTATTAACTTTTAGCATTAAAGGTAAGTTGCACACGCACTGACCTGGAGTTAATAACCACAATTCTTTATTTCGAAACAAATACAAATTGTACTGTCAAATTTAAAAACAACTAAGTAAGAAATAAAAATGAACCCATTTGAATGTTGCAAACGTTGGTTATGTTTAATTCGTAAGAATTAAGTAAATAACAATTAATATTATAGTGTTTATGAATTTTAATGTAATGTCTTAATAATATGTCCTTATTATGTCCTTATTAATTATGTCCTTTATGTCTTAATAATATTGGTGAATTATTACGTAATAAGTACGTGGCAAGATTTGAAATGTTAAATCTTCCATTCAAAACCGTCGAGGCGCGTCGGCAGTCACTCACGGCAATTGCGAAGTCTTAGAAAATTCTTCGCCCGGAAGTCGAAGCTTGGAATTTTCATAATGTCACCGCGCCCCGTGCAGTCCCCTCACTATTCATATGATAATTCCGTCGAAGGATGTGCTGCAAACGAGTGGAATCGAGAATTCCTAAATTTTTCGATTGCAATGACATTTTATTGCTTCAGCATTTCAATTGATCGATTGTAGTGTGCGTTCGATCTCTACTTCACTATTAATTATGAATATTACAAGCAGGAGTGGACCTAGAATAGATCTTTGTGGTATCCCCGTGATGATCATCGTATTAACGGTTTTCAAAATAAGTGTTTTTTATTTAGACAATGCCCTTACTATTGGATAACATTATACTGTGTTGTAATGACGTCTTACAAACATAAATTTCACGTGGACGAACACCCCAATGCGATACAACTATCTGTGGGTCACACAAATAGTTATTCCGTGTGTGAATCGAACCCACGACCCCCGATTAAGAAACCAATACTTTGGCAACTACACCACGGGGTCATCAAATTTGTATAACGTAAAGAAAATTGTTCAGTATCTGGGATTTTCTATACTTGGGAAGATGACAAATGAACTGTTCCGCTGACTAAAAAAATTGTAGAAAAATGGATAAAAATATGGAAACAATAGGTGATATTAGATTGCAATTCTATCTATAGACTGCTATCTTTTATCGTATCATACGTTCTATATCATCTGTCACATTCACTTATACGTGTCATACAATGTAAAGGGGAACAAATTTTAAACGTCGCGCAGTACCATGTGTCATCTTTTTTAAAACATCTTTTCTTTTTACCCGTAGCTTTAATATTATTGCTACTAAGGGATTTTTGATTTTTTTCACTACAGGAACATTTTACGTCGCGCGTTTACTACAACATTTGTCAGTAATCATTACACAACCGTCAATAAGCCGTCAAAGTCTCATTCCATACTTCGTTATCCGACGTCGCACGAGCAATTTATCGGGCGGTGATTTCGCGGACATTCTTCAATTCCGAACTCAAGGACCACAATTACCGATCCAAGTTGAAAACTCTCAGACGCGTCGCTCGAGTTCGAATTTCATCTTTTTACTAACGCAAATCGTTTTAGTTTCTTTTTTCATTTTTTAAAAGGCTTTATTTTCCGTGTTGCTAGTTAATTTCGTCTAATTAATTTTGCGATGAAATGCTAAGAGATTTCTGATTTAACAATAATACTTAAAAACTTAAACGAGGCACTTCAATGAAATTAATGTCTTTTGGAAGTGCTCAGAAAAAATATAATTGCATTCATTCAGAAAATAGGATAGGATTTAATAAGAGCTGTCTTTAATTTGTATTGCACTTTTATTTTAAAATTTAGAATTAACTAATCACAAATATATACTATTTACAAACGTGTCCAACTACATTATAATATAATCTAAAAAGTCAAAAATGATTATTTACAACAAAATAAACGACTAAACATTAACAATTCCTCTAGCTAAATGTGCTTATAACATTGTCTTTGGTATTTGTATTTTTGGTTTCATTCTTAAATCTTTGGTTTAATGACGTACAAAACGTCTGTGACGCTCACAATATTTTTAAATTTAAATAATTTTATGGATTGTGCAGACTACACAAAAATATTTAAGTTGATTCGAATTGACATCTTCATTGAAAGGAGCTCGTTCTTTTTTTGAAAATGCTGCGATAGTGACGTTCGTTTACAGTTTTTTTTTTCTTCACACTTCAGTTTTCTATTTCAATGTTACTGGCCATACTCTCGTTGCTGTTCTCGTTGAGGTCGACGTGCATTTTCTCTCTTTCGATTTTCTCCTTCGACCTCGCGCCTTCATCCGCGAACTCCTTGGTCTCCAAACTCGACTCGCCCGGATTTCTGTCCACATCGCACGGCACGGGCATCCCGAAAGTGGAATGGCCGGGGTAGTACATGTACGACAGCGGGATGTTGGGGTAATTGACCCCCAAGTGGGGCCCGTACAGCGATTGGAGGACGGCCTGGTTGTACGACTCTTGCAGTAGCGCCTTGTATTCGGGGTTCTTGGCGAAGTCTACTCCGTACACTCCCGCGAAGTGTTTCAGTATCGGCGAGCCTTCCAGAAGGTTCGGCGGCGTGAATAGCGGGTTCAGGGTTTTGCCTATCACCGGTGTGTGGTACGGCTTCATGTCGGACATCGTCTGGGCCTGCCCGCCGTTGTTGACTAGCACTTTGACCGCGACTTTGCGCGCGTGGCTCGCGGCCGCCGCTGCGGCGGCTAGCATTCCGCTTTCCTGCATTTGCATCTGTTTCCTTTTGGTTTTGTACCGTCGATTCTGGAACCATATCTTCACTTGGGTCTCGGTGAGTTTGAGACTCACAGCTAGGTCCGCGCGCTCGGGGCCCGAGAGGTACCTCTGCTGGCTGAACCGTCGCTCCAGCTCGTAGACCTGAGCGTGGGAGAAGGCCGCTCTGGAGCGCTTTTTCCTGCCTCCATTTTGTGTGTACTCGCTAAGCGGGTAGTTGGGCGAGTGGAGGGTTCTCGAGTCGCTCGGCGGGGGCGTCGAGCACTTGCGTGGTTCGTAGTGTAGGTTGAAGGGTTTGTAGCCGACGTCGGAGTTGGGCGATGAGTTGCTGCGCCTTATAGGTGAGCCTGTGGTTGACGATCTGGAGTCATAGTCATCTGCAACAAATGAGAATTAATTAAGAATATTTTATTTTTTTCTCAAGAAAGGCCCTAATTCAATAACAATTCTCTATAAAACGGTTTTACCGTTTTATAGAGAATTGTTATGTCAATCTATAATAACGCAAATAATAAAGTAGTGGTTGTATACAAAATATTTTTTAAGATTCTTAAGCCCGCAAACAAAATATATTACATTCAAACGTTTCCGAAGCAGCGAATCAGAAGGTATACCAATACAACCTGTATCCTAGAGGCGTACCGTTACACACCAAAGCATAGATGTCACGCTACCGTTTGTAACAACAATAACATCAGCGTATATTATACATATAAGTGTTATACTTCTGCGTTTCGTCTGGTCAATAAGGTAACCGGAGCCAACTTATTAAAAGGTGTGTTGCAAATGTCCATGAGCGGCGGTTATCAGGTGACACCAGGTCGCTTGTCACCTTCTCACATAAAAAAATATATTACATCTGAGTACTGGCACGGCCTCGGAAGACGATAGACGGTATCCAAACTTCTGTGTTTAGTCCGGTCTTCTCTCAGCTTTGGACAATGCGTACATTACAAGTTGCAACAGCTTTCTGGGTTGCCATCCCTAATTGGAAAAGAGTATTTTAAAGCGGCATATTATTGCTAGTCATTAGAGCTGTGAGCGTCATTTTATTATCAATTCCTCTAATAGAACGCACGCCATCCACGCGTAAAGACACAATGCACCCATTACGCAAATCGTTGCCCGATCATTAGATGTTGGCAGTTTCGACTTTCCGAATAGATTTAACACTGTTCTTGCGTGCCACGGATCTTTTGTGGCAAGTTCGGTACAATTTCTAACCTGGCTTTTAATCTATTCGCTGGTTAGACTATTAATAATGTTTCTTACCTAATTGATTAGTTAAACTATTTTGACTTGTCTGTATCATTACTGATAATATTTATGTGTTATTTGAATCATCATGTAAGAAATATCTTAATTTCAGGGTGTAATTGAGGAAACGTTTTATTTTCGCGAATTTTTTTTAATTTTCGTCAATATTCGGATGCATCAAATTTGTTTTGTATCGTCTTTTCGCTTTGAGCAATAAAATTATATATTTTAGCTGACCCGGCGCTGTTTTGCCATATAAATTATTTTTAGGGTAGAAAAAAATGTTCGGGGTGGACCACCCTTAACATATAGTTGGATGAAAAATAGATGTTGTCTGATTCTCCAGCCTGGCCAATATGCTCACACAATTTCACGAAAATCGGTCTAGCCGTTTCAGAGGAGTTCAATTACAAACACCGTGACACGAGAATTTCATATATAAGATATACTTAATAATAATGTAGAGAACACGGAAAATCTTAAAGAAGGAATAGTAATAACAAACTGGTTGTTAGCTGCTACTACAATCTGTAATGAACTAAACCTGAAATGGACAGTTTCAATTACGTGGAAGTGGCCATTTTAAACAGAATTTCGTCGAAAGAATTATTGAAATTAGCTCCCCACAACATTTAAAACATTACAATAGAAGCAAAGTTCCTAGATCGACTTCCGCCGACTAAAGACCTCAACATCATAGGGAATTAACGAAAAAGGTTTCATTACGCGACGCAATTCGGCCGCCACGTGGCGCCAGAGCATAGCAATTACTAAATTGAATGCCCGAATAGTGCTTTCAAGTCACTTGTCATAATGAGGGGCCTCATAGAAGTGGCGGGTGCGATGTCGCGGCGCGGCACGGTCGCGAACGCGCCATTACGCGCCCATTGTTGGAAATTCGAATCTGGAATGTCCTTCGATTGTTTATTTTTTTATTTATACGGCATCCTTTTTAATTTGTCAGTAATTCTTACTTGCTAGTATAATCAAATAGATTTGTTTACTAGTTTGTTTGTAATAGGCAATCATTTAAGCTGTTAAACGGGCTCGGAAAATTACCCACTGATGAACGCGGCATTGCGCATTCAATGTTTTTTTATAACGCATATTTTTTTATTATAATTATTACTTGCCAGTATTATCAATTACATGTTTTATTCGTTTGTACATAATAAGCAATCCTTGAAGCTATTAGACAATTAATGATATTTCTTCAAATGTGTAACGGACATATCCGTTATCGGCAATTTGAATATAGAATGACTCTCTGTTATTATATTATATACTTTTTGGCAATCCTTTTATTAATTATGAATTTTCAAGGAATTATTACCGGACAGTACAGACGGTAACAACTTTATAAAGCATATAAAGCATATTTGTTTCGCTAATGTGAAGCCTTTGATGTGACCTTTTTGATTTCAAATGGAAGACAAATGAGTAATCAGATCACCTGCTGGTAAGCGAAGACCGTCGTCTATGGAATCCGTTACCTCACTCATCAGAAGAAAAGCAAAACTAACAAGATAAATAGTATTACTTCACGCTAGCCCCAAGTAACACAGGTTTGTTTAGTATGAAGAAAATTTTTGTGTCGACCATTACACAATCATGACGAGTTCTTTAAAACATTATGTATGGCCTTAAATAAGAATTGCGGTATATTATTAATGTGTATTGCAGTGAATCCTGGTAAAAACAACCCTGGATAAGTCGGTAATTTCTGCGGCTGATATTTGAAATGAGCTTCCCAGCTTTGATTGCTTTCCAATTACCAATCGACTAATGGGAATTATTATTACTTTTTATGAAAGATATCTTCTGAATTTGTTAGATTTTTTCCTGTATAATTGAGGCCACTTAGCTTAATAGACTGTATAAGTGTTATCAATCGGTTCTACGAGCTATATGACCGGCCCATCGCCACCTCAGCTTACTAACTTCTGAGCTATGTCCTTTATATTAAACACTAACTAACAATAGACCTTACTATTGGGTGACTAACTATTGAGTTATACTAAAACATTTCTCACATAGCTCACTCACCAGAGGAAACGCGGTAATTTAATTCTTCCATTCACGCCGGTCTTCTGTGAGGCCGTGGTACTTCCCCAGATGGGGCTGCCCATTAGCAACAACAGAAGCTGTTGAGCTGAACCTGGCCCTATCACAGTATAGTCCCAATCCTTATCCCTATCACAGGAGAGCCCACTTCATTAAAAGGTGGAGACACATCTGCATCCCTACGGGTGTTGCAAACGTTGTATATTCGGTTCACGAATGAAGGAGTTCTGACAGCAAATATAAAAAAAATACAACGGATTGAAGAGTTTTTTTTCTTTTTATGGAGAAAAGGGGCAAACGAGCAGGAGGCTCACCTGATGGTAAGTGATTACCGCCGCCCATGAACACCTGCAACACCCGAGTTCCTTCTTTTTTGAAGTCGGCTTAAAAGTAAACACCAGTTTAGTCATACTCATTCGACAAATTATTAAAGAACTACTTAACGACACATACATGCAGGAATTCTGCACATATGTCATTTAATAGGGTCATAGCCTCATGGTGAAATTTGTTTAAATTTTTAATTAAAATATTCAAGCGATATATTGTTAGAATACACAGCACTATGCTCAATAAAATATTAAGAACTCGACATTCAATACGTGAATAGACATGAACATAGTTTCTTTATTTTAAATAGTTCAAAGCCGTTAGGATTACGTTTCAACATACTTTATACTACGTAATCTAAGTACATAATACTTCTGCACTCAGAGCCAAAACATGGGAACCTTCAGATCTATCGAAGTATCTCACTGAGCCAAATACCTACACATATCGCTTTATGCATTCTTGATTGAAAACAGCCATAAAGAGGGAACGGCTAAAAGGAAGATTTTAGCGGCAATTGATATATTTTAGGTGGAAAGTAGGCATCCGTCTTAATTTAATAGATTCCCTCGATGTATTGATTGCCTACTATTAGTGGATTTGTGATGCTCGACTTATTCGTTCGACAAATATAGTTCGACAGCCCATATATTCTGTGAAGAGACAAACCATCAGGCGATTCACGTTGATGTTTAATGGTTTATTAAGGCGGTTGATGGACATCGAAAGCAACTGCAGGGATTTCCGTTGTATTGTCAACCTTCAGTGGGTGCGCTGCAAGTATTTATAGACAACTAGCGACCCGCCCCGGCTTCGCACGGGTGCAATATTATACATATAACCCTTCCTCTTGAATCACTCTATCTAGTAAAAGAAACCGCATCAAGATCCGTTGCGTAGTTTTAAAGATCTAAGCATACATAAGGACAGACAGACAGCGGGACGACTTTCTTTTATACAATGAAGTGATTAATAAGTGGTACCTGAATGACAGGGTTTTGTGTGAGAAGGTGACAATCGAGCTGACAGTTCATCTGACGTTAAGTATTAGAACACCCTTGATCTTCGTCACCTGACGGGTAGAAGATGTGATAATGGCGTCCTGGTTACTCACGACATGGACCGCAAAAGCATCAATACTTCTACTTTAAGTTTTCGGTGAAGCTTTGGTACTCCCTGGCACGATCTGGATTCGTTTGAGAATAGACTACCGCAATTAACCATTCTTGAACCAACAAAGTGTGAAACGCAGTAACTACTTTTTCGAATCACGCGCTATAAATTAATCTACGGAGTGATGATTGTGTGAGATCTAACTCGTCCCTTTACGCACCAATTTTTGCTTATTCGGTATTCCTTACGTGCATTGCAATCACCGTCTCGCTTTTAGGGACAATATCGGTTATCGCAATAGGGTCATCACCTGTCACTAGAGGGCATTAAAGTTAACTGTTTACCGTCTCTTTCATCAATCGTTGTCATTTATTTACATCGTTGTCATGCCGGTAGCTCTGTTTACATCTTTGCTTTGTCGATATCAAGTTTTTAGGTAAATTAAGGTCTTAATGTCGGAAAAGCATCTGTGATCCTTCAAGTCTCGTACTCACTTGACAACTTTTCGGATAAAAACAAACGGAGTTCTTTCTGAAGTCATTAATTTGTCAAAGAACAAAACTATCGTATATGGTTATATACAGGAAATTCAACGTTGTAAGAGAATATATAGACGTCGGCGGGAAAGCTCTAGAGTCGAATTGAAGCGATGCTTTCATTGTTTTTAACACCGTTTCGAAATAAAACCACACCATGAATAACAAACATATGTCATCATATCATCCAAAAATGTAAGCAGAGATCATGGATTTCTAACATTTGAGTAGTTCTTACTCTACTTTAGGGTTTCTTTGATTTGGAGAGCCAGTGTTCCTAGATCTAAACAGGTTTATCTTCTAGGTCTCCGATTTTCATATATCTTTGACTCTGGTTGAATGGCCAATGATGATATACTAAAACGAATTTCTGTGAACATTTAGGCTGTACTATGTACAGGAAAGCTCCCAAAATTGATGATTTACTAAGTGTAAATAAATAAATAACAAACAAATATTTTCACGACATGTTCATACAAGTAATCTATCCCAAAACTAAATAAAGCTAAATAAGGACACTAGTTAATTGATAAACATACTTTAACATACTTTTCGTTTGTAAAAAATAATTATCATAGATATAAAACCACCCAGGACCACTACATTCTACTATTTTTATAATACTATATTCAACCTCAATCATTTTCCAGTAGTGATCGGACCCTCTGGCGCAAGTGACAGGTCTAATATCCACTACGCCCATCAATTCGCCTAATTAGTACCTAAGTTAAATTTCTTCTATTAAGTCACAAACAAAGGTTCCGTTGTCGCAAAGCTAAAAAATTATGTAAAGTAAAAGAAAGACAACTCCGATTGAGGTCTGAAAGCGTGGAATGAAGAAAAACGCTGCTTTCTATAGATATATAAATAATATAAAAAGTACAAATTAAGTAGTAAGTAATTGAATGGATGTAATTGCGATCTGTGCGGACAGTCGATGGTGGCTGAGGAGCCATCTTCGTGGCAGTCTGTGAGGAAGGTCTATGTTCAGCAGTGGACTGAAACAACCTCAATGATGAAGATGATGGTGATGAAGAATATATTTGATTACGATGCGATTATTGATTGCGTGGAATTTAAAATAAATAAAATTTCTAAAATTAAAATAGTCCAAGCCTAAGCTACTCCTTATTAAATAAATTATCTGCCTGTGAGAGTCCTGTCAAAATCGGTTTCAGAGATTAGCCGGAACAAACTGACAGACAATCAGATGCAAATTTTAAAAAATGTTATTTTGGTCACAATCATAAGCATTTAGTAAAAAGCGGTTACTTTAATGTTACAAACAGACATTCCAATTTTATTTATCTGTATAGATTATTGGGTAATTTTAGAATACTGTAAAGCTTGTCTGGGTGTCCCATTCTTGGACAAAGACTAAAATCAGTAATAAATTTGGCATTGTTTTATGTTACTGGTTTATGTAGATTTTTAATTTATATTGTTGTTATATACACGGTGAACAATTAAAAAATTCCACTTATAAATGAAACCAGAATGAAATTGTGGCTTACTCTTTTCTATCCATAATTTGATATTAAAGGTTTGTAAAAAGGTACACCATAGTTATCTTTATATATATATATATATATATATATATATATATATATATATATATATGATTCTACTGTACGTGTGTCTACTGTACGTGTGTAAGCGACTGAATTCCTCCTAAACGGCTGGACCGATTTTAATGAATTTTTTTGTGTCTTCAGGTAATGAATTTTTTTGATTTAAGTCGTGTGTACAGGACAATGTCTGTCCGGTCCGCTAGTATATATATAAAAAAACTGATAGTATTGCTTAAAATAAGAAAAGTCCATGGTTTTAAAACGTTACTATTATTGAATTATTAAAGCACTCCTAATTGAAGGTAACAAACTAAACTAAAGAATAAACAATTGAACTAAACAGACAAACCTGACAGTTCTGTGACCGGGAAGTTGTTCTTCCTCGACATATCCAATGCCCCATCGTCACCATAATCGCGGTACGCGCTGCATTCGTCGTAATACTTCATGGTCTTCTCCGAAACGTCTTTCCCGAGGCAGCCGTCGTCCTTGACGCCGGCCGGTTTACCCAAAAAGTTCACTTTGAAACTCGAACTAGTAAAACTCTCGTATTCGCACTTTGCCTCGTTCTCTCTAGTCAGTATGTCGTTAATCGAAAACGGAGTATTCAGATTAAGTGTCGACTTCTCGCACTCCGGCAGAGTACGCGCGTCTTTGAAGTTCTTCACTCTCGACTCCATCATTCAAAACTTCGTACACATTAACGCGCCGCGTCCGAAAGTCCGTCTCGCCGCAAAGCGTCCACTGAACGAATAAACTTCTCTTGATGGATTGCCCGCTTGATGCCTTAAGCCCTAGAGCGAGATGGCGGTAAGCTGTTCTTAGCGCTTTCCGTTAAGAGAGAAGGGGATGGCGCTATAAGGGGCGTTCGATTTTTAAAAAAAGCGCGCGAAGTGCGCGTAGTGGGGATCGTTGAGTTTTTCTTGAAGATGTTTACGTGAATGCGATTTGATCGCCCCGGCCGCAAGCGGAATGTGACGGTATAATGCATTGGTCGCTTTCCACATTGTTTTTGTTTTAATTTATCGTCGCGATGTTGCCACTATTCCTTGTTTTTTCAATTAATAGTAACTAGAGGCACAGTAATTAGAGGATATAATATTTGGTGTCAATGCAATATATGCTTCATTGAGCTCTGTTAATCGTTCCATTTTTTCAATATCACAAAATGAAAATCATTTAAAAAATCACACTTCGGTGTCTTGAAAATACCTATATAATCTAATATTTAACAAGCACTGGCACATTATGTAACAGCAATAAAATAAACTAAAAGGTAGTATGATTTCATCTGTAAGTCTATTTTAATTTGTACAATGACACAGGATAAAAAATAATACAAAGATCGAATTTATAAGTTTTTGTTGCACCAATACGCGACATCGCGACTCTTAGGCCGTTGCACGTACCGCGCGTCGAACTTCCCGAGCGCCCCGCTGTTATCGCGTCGCTTTATCGGTAAGCACCTAGAAGTGTCTAGCCGTCCCTCTTTCTCTAATACGCACTCGCACTCAAACGACCGTAGCTGCCTCTCGCTCATTAGTTCCACATCTAAATAGACCAATCGGGTGAACGCGTAGATTGTGGTCGACCAATAAAATTATTTGTGAGTGGAAATGACAACATAAATTTTATACTTTTTCCGAACGCGGCACAAGAATTTATTTCCAATTTAGTTCACACCGTGAAGAAGTTGTCGGTTAAAGTTAAATGCTTTAGTGGTATTCCATTGAGACTTATTGATTAAATAACATGTATTAATAAAATGGTACTAAGTAGACGTCTTAAGTTATTGTTATTTGTCAGTTTATTTAGGTAAGGTTAGAAAAACCGCACGGAGCTTTTTAGTAATAACACCTGCTATTTTCATTAAAACGGTCGTTGTAGATAATAGTTTATAGCTCAAATAGCTCAAATCTAGGAAATAATTAAGTACTCTTGATCTTAAAAGACAATTAAAGATTTATTTAATTAAACGAGCATACTACATTATCTTAGAATTTTTGAAGGAAGACAATTTTTCGTAGTAATTATGTAAAATGAATTTCTTATTTTAATATAATTTAATTTGCATTATGTACTAAAATGTACTAAAATTTTGAACTGTTTCAATAATCATCTGTTATTTTAATATTGACATATGATTATTATAACAATTTTATTAATCAATTTCGTTATTAATTTTATTATGACTCAATAATGACATGTGACCATATTTGGCAATAGTATAAAGTTTATAATAAACAATATCGCGGTCAATGCACCATCTCTTGTAACCAATTTGTATGCCGTGATATGGCGTAAACGTGATAGGACAATGTATATTTAATATCTTGCATGCAATGTATGTATACCATGTTTTTACAAATAAAGGCCATCTATCTATGACTGATATTACAATCACGTTAGCTTATTAACAATGATATTATATACAGATAAGAGATGTGACACTAGCACACCGAAACTGGGGCACTCAAATTACACCAATGGGTGTAATTAGATTACAATTCTACCTCTTTCCATATCATACGTTCTATATCAGGGGTGAGCAACATTTTTAATCAATAGGCCAATTTAAATTTCAAATTTTTTGGCGGGCCGCACATAATGATTTACAAAACTTTATTTATAATAAATATTAGAATAAAAAAATATAAAATTGAAAAAAAGTAAAGATTTCAAATGCAAATTTTAATGCAAGGTAAAAACAAACAAGATAAGAACAGAAACATACAACAAAAAATATTTCGGTTCAGTATGTACTACCATTTTATTATAGTTAATTTTACAACAATATATTGATGGGAGAAATTCGATAAAATAAATCAATTTTAGAAATGCTTGGCGGGCCGCATAAACATGTTTAAGGGGCCGCAAGCGGCCCGCGGGCCGCGCGTTGCTCATCCTTGTTCTATATCATCTGTCACATTCAGTATGTATATGCCATATTGTAATGTAAAGCGGAACAATTTTTAAACACCACGAAGTGTGGACAGGCGTCATCTATATTATTAGACATCATTAAAGCGATTGAACTAATTTGGCGCAGCATTTACTAGACCAGGGTTTGTGTGGAAAATTTTTATTAAACGTTTATTTTATGGAGCATCATATAAAACGTGTGAAGTCTTCCAATCCGCAGTGGTCGCATGGTCTATGTCCTAATATCTTCTGTATAGAAGAGTTCTTTGCCCAGCAGTGGGACATGTATAGACTACACTTTACTTTTTTACCTTACAAAACTATCATATAAATAGTATATCGATGAGCTTGAAGCCGGAAACTGAGCTATCACGCATCTCTGAGTGCTTGTCCATGTGTAATTCGTGCATATAAAACCTCATAATCACAACGTTATCCAACGAAATGAATTGGCGGACTATTCTCTTTATGAAAACAAAATAAGTTTTAAATATATTAGAAAATCGTTACCTACAATAGGTTAATAACTTTTAATAGCAGTTAAAATAACAATCGAAACTCATATAAATAAAAACTCTTATGATGTAGTTTATTTGTTGGAAAACTCTTATCGACGTCGATCTTGTAGTACAAAGTACATACTAATTCCACTGATTTTCTTGTACACTTGATCGATCTATCGATCGATTCAATCGATCATATTTAGTACACACGTCATCGGGAGTAGTGAAAATAAGACATTTTACAATACTATCATCGTCATTTCAGCCCGTTTTAAACCACTGCTGAACACAGGCCTTCCCAACAGCATTGGCGTATCTAGAATTATTTTTCAGGGTGGGCCTGGGCCTTTACTAAAAAATATCGAACACTATGCGTACATAAAGTTAAGTCGTTGATAATTTTTATTAATTTATAATAGTAGTATTAACTAATTAGTATTTAGTACGTTGTGTACTCATAAGTAAATAAAAGGAATGTATTGTAAAATAGTATGTAATAAAATCTAAGTATGTACATAGATTTCTCGGCGGTAGATATAGATATATATATTTGTTTACAATGATTTTTTATGAAGTTACTTAGTTATCCAGCCTAAAATTTTGAATCACTAACCCAAAATCTTGGAATGGGCACTAGACGATACTGGGGTGGGCATGGCCCACCCGGCCCCCTGCTATATACGCCTATGCCCCACAGCCTGCTACTAAACACGATCCAGCCACCTGCATCCATCGACTTCCCGCGCATTTGCACAGGTCGTGAGCGTAACTCCATCTAGTGGGGGTCATCCAACACTATGATGGCCAATACGATGCCGCCATTAAAATATATACAGATAATAAATCGACAGGAAGGTTTGATTCAATTTGTATAAATATTGAAGTTAAATTTCTTTGCCGCGTGATGGAATAAATTATGGCAGTGAACTTTAAAAATTCTCCGACTTACTTATTACTTTAATATATATTTTTATATTTATTTACATATTATATAAGGATATACAAATACGCACTCATTTTTTTCTTTTATAACTGAGACATTTTCCTATCGTATGTTTTATTTAAGGGATGAACTGAAATTAACGACTCGTCCGCAAAGTGGTCGTGATGGAAAAACAATGTGTTAACTCATGGCTTGTACTTTGTGTAATAATGGCTTTATTGTGTACTGATCACGAAAGATCCTGGATATCGTGTTTCGTTTAGATGATGCTCAATGAAGAGGGTATAGTGTGCCATCAAGTGGTTTACCACAGAGCTGCAACGCGTTAGACGTGGTATAGGATAATATTTGTCTGCTTATTGTTTGTATGTTTTCTCTATGCGTGTCTAAACTTCCGAAGTTTCCTGGCCCAAAAAAATAAGTTTTTTTTTGTACGTTTGCCCTCTACGCTAACAGAAAAATATTGTAAACACTTTCTTTCATTAAATTTTGTAGACAGCATATATTTAAAATATAATATGTGTATAATATATTAGTATCTGGAAGACCGGAGGTTTGTTTTTTGTTTTTTTGTAAATCGTGTATATTGGAAATTACATTTAGATACAAATTACTGAGTAATGAAATATGCATAATGTTTTTCGATCTCACCGACCTAATAATAAGAAAATATGAAGTGGTGTTTTTCACAAAAGAAACAACTTTAAAAAAAGGGCAAAAAATAAAAAATCATCTGGAATAAAAAAAAAAGTAAAAAAAAAGAGTTTGTAAATGATCGTGACACGAACCACGGTCGTCTGTCTTGGGGCCACCCGATTACCGACCGAGCTATTATAACATTTTTTTTGCGGCGAAATTTACCGTCATATTCGAATGATATTTTTCATTCCCTGAAATGAGGGATAAAAGGACATTTTCTAAAAATGAAACCTAGCTAGATCGATTTTTCGCCCCCGAGTCTACACACATACTAAATTTCATGAAAATCGCTGGAGCCGTTTCCGAGATTCCGATTATATATATATATAACTATATATATATATACAAGAATTTCACGTTTAAAGGATAAGATTAAGTTGCTACATTGTCTTAATTTCTCAAAGCTTTTCTTCCATATTTGAAAATAGCATCACATTAAATTAACTGTTCCATTTTAAAAATAATAGTTGGATTAAAATTGTACCGAATGATTTTGTAAGTTAAGATTGAGCTCTTGGTGGCAGATGAGCTGAAGTCTCCAACGGGGCATTTATAGGGCCTGTCATAGGGTGGATCTCGCCGGGCGAAATACAACAGAATGAATACTTCTAAC